GGCAAGTATTCCATAAATGAGATCTGTTGCTTTCTTTGATCCATCCTGATCCATCAGCCAATCACTTTCATTGTCAGGCCGCAAGTTCCAGTGTTAGGAAGGAAAATCCCCTTTTGCTCTCTATTTTCTTGACACCATTTTATAAAACCTCTTTCATGTTCTCTGTCTAATCCGAAAGCCTCCTGCACTTAAAGCCTTTCTTGTGCTTTACCGCATGTATAGATCAAACAAGGCCCTTCAGCTCCCACCCTAAAGAATAAAACACCTCTCTCTACCACATGCGTTAAGGAATGAATTATCCTATTATTGATGCACCATCTAGTTCAGGGGTTGTCAACCTGGTCCCTACCGCCCACTAGTGGGCGTTTTAGGATTCTAGGTGGGTGGTAGGGGTTCTAGGGCACAAGCTGAATCCTCCTTCCATCGAGCACTGGTGGGCGGTAAGGAAATATTACCATCAAGAAAGATGCATTAGTGGGCGGTAGGTATAAAAAGGTTGACTACCCCTGATCTAGTTGAAAATTTCAGGACTTTCACCCAACCCTGGTTCAAATTCCCTTGCAAACCATTTCTCCCCCCCTCCCCTTTTCAGGCAGTTAACCTAATTATAACTTACTCTGGGCAGGTAAAACAAGTGAAACCACCAGCATTCCCTTTTGCCTTTAGAGAAGGAGGGAAGGCAGGCAGGCAGGCAGAAAGGAGGGAACAGTAAGAATGATAAAAATGTATGAGCGGGCCCTGTGTTGCAGTTAAAAGTCTGAGCATGATGGCTGTAGTATACTGACACTTTAATTACTTTCTGAAAGAGAGCAAAGGAAGAGACACAAGTGCCATCAGGACTTCTGGACAAAACCATACAAGGGTGCTCTCACATCATCGCCCATCTCAATAGGATGTCTGGACAAAACATTTCAACAAAACTAGCTGCTGACTAGGATTCTGGGTACCGATAAGGCTAAAGGAAGCAAAGTTATTACCTGGCATTCTCCACTGCAGTTGATGAAAACTGCAGCTTTTCTTCCAAAACCTGGACTTTCTTTTTAAGCTTAGATTCCCGATCCTCAGCTGCTAAAGCTTCCCGTGTGGAAGTGTCTTCCCTTTCTAAAAGGTGATTGCGCAATCTCTCCAATTCTTGATTCAGACGCTGCTCCTTATCACGTAAATGCTGTATCTGTGTAATTAATTGAGGGCACATTGCTTCAGCTTTTCTTATTCACCCTCAGCTACCCACTCTTTCATTCACTCAATTTTCATCCTTCGATGGTGCCACATGTTTCTACAGAGACTTTCCCTGGTGCCCAGAGTCCCCTGCCTCCCCACCCTCAAATAAACCTGCAAGGAGCATTATATTGCAACCTACAGACCAGGTTGCTGTGTGTACTTGGATTAGGGGTGGGTGTGACATCCCTGAGAGTTTGTTTAGTTTGCAAATATGCCCACAAGCCCCCAAAGACTGGTAACTCTTGCATACCTCATTCTGTAGGGCAGTAGTCTCCATTTGTTTCTGCTTCAGTGCTAACATGACTTTATCTCTCTCTTGCTGAAAAGCAACAGCCTTCTCCTGCATTGATTTTGCTTCATTTAACAGCTGGTTCAGCTCTCCTGCTTTCCCTTCCAAAAATAAAAATAAAGAGAGGCCATTGCATTTTAAAGATCTATCTTCTTTTAATGTTAAAGGTGCAGCACTGTGCCAGGGGACTTGAAAGGATATAAATGTGGATGTACAGTAATAAATTTGAGAATTAAACTAAGACTGGGAACCCCACAAATACTTATCTATGCACAAGCCCCTACTGAACACTGCTGACTTACATCGGAGTACACTTGCATAAGATTGCATTGCAAATCAGATGTTCACTAGAATTTGCATCTTCCTCATTTACAAACTTTACATTCTAAAATATATGGACATTCAACTTCCGGGTTGGCGCCATCGCCGAATGGCGGACTCCCTCCGAGCTCCGGAGGGAGTCTGCTCGGCAGGGGCTGGGTCCTACCGCGCCGGCGACGCGGGGACCCTTAAAAACCACGGGCACGGAGCCCGTGGACATGGGTGACTCGGCTTGCACCATTAGCGCCCTCCCGACTCGTGAAGGAGCCTTTTTAAAGGCTTCGGATCGGGTGCCGGGGAGTGGCGTGGTGCTTTGAGTCTTCTGCTTTCCCTGCCGAGCGCAGCCGCATGCCATTCGACGGAGAGCGCTGACTTCTTCCATTGAAAATTTGGACTATTAACAACAACCCGTGAGTAATTGGGAAACCGGGTTCAAAATTTCGGATTTGACACGAGCGGGGCGATTTAAAAGGAAGTCAATCCCCCTATTGTAAGCATTCCAAAACAAGGACTGGGTAACCAAGGTCCAAAGGGAAGTATACTCCTGATAAAAATCATTAATTTCATGATGGGAAATTATAAGAACTGTGCTGGAGGAGAAGAGTGGAGGGTGAGAAGAAAATGCAACCCCCTGGGAACCGGGGCGATTCGTGGAGCCTGGTGAAGAGAGACGGAGACTTTGACAGCTGTCAAAGTGGCTGTCAAAGCTGGAGAATATAAAGAGGACTTTGTTAAGAGGACCTTGCTGGTTAATTTTGCTACAATTTGCTATAATATGGATATAAATTGTTGGAAAATAAGTAACAATTTGACTTTTGGATTAGAGGATACAAAGTTATTACAATCCCCCTAGAGGGGTTTCGGGATATTACAAGAACGGTCGTAAGTGGAAAAATACGCTGGGACTCGCACAGGACTTGTTATCTTCTGGGAAAGCTGCAAAACTGAAACAGTATTTTGTCTACAGAGGTATTTACATTAAAGGAGACAATAGAATTTTCTATTGAAGAAAGGAAGGGACTGGACGTAAGTTTTTGTTCCTGAATAACAAACCTCTGCAGAGATACCAGATTTCTGAATTAGAAAGTTTTAGCAGCTGAACAGGACAAGAAACCTGAGAAAGTGAGGAATAAGAAGAACAAAGGACTGATTACGACACGGAAAGAACAACGGGAGGAGTGGTAAAGATCAAGGAAATTAAAGGCCTTTGTTAGATTGGACACTTGAAGTTAAATATTATTAAAATTAATAAATTAAAAGAAAACCGGCAAGATGGAATCGGGGAGAAATCTGGTCATGAAATGAGACTTCCAAGCTGATAATGTATAGACTGATGGACATGGGGAATTCAAACCGGGAAGGGGGAGATTTGAAATCCAAAGGCTGTGTAACCATCTTTTGAATTTTTCTATATCTCTTATTTTCTATTTCTTTATATAACTTACGCATGTCATTTTATTTTGATCGGACGTGTTTAAAAAAAAGGGAATTCGTGGAAGGAACTGGGGTGGATCTTGGGGAAAATCTTTTTTCTTTTTTTTTGTTAACGATGTGGGACGGTGGTAAGATTTGTACAATTCAATTTGGATAGTGGGTTAAACAAATTAAGCTTTAAATTGGGAGTGAGAGCTTGTAGAACCAAATTAAGGAAAGGGGAATACAGTCAGGGGGGGGGAGGGGGGGAGTCCCAGAAAGTAGGAAATGAAAGTAAGGAGTTTAAATAACTTTTGTTTTTCTTTTTAAATACTCGTTGTATTTATATATTTTTGGAAAGATTAATAAATATGATTTAAAAAAATAAAAAT